GCGAGTGAAAGGTGAGAGAGAATGTTAATAAGTTGTAATAACGAAAAAGAGTGAATTACGACGAAAGAGAGGGATGGCGGGAGTGGGTGGTAGGGGGAGGGGTTGGGACGAGTGGAGGAGGTCCGGTGGGCCGAAGATGGTGGAGGTGCGAGTGAAAGATAAGTGAGAATGTTGAAAAGTTTAAATGGCGGTTTGAAAAATTTTAAATGCGGATAGAGGAGAAGAAGAAGAAGGAGAAGTTTCTTAATTTTTCTTTAAAATCACCACTTTTCGACTGCTTATATCTCCAGAACGGCTTGACCGATTTAAAATTTTTTTGTCTCAAATTACTCGTGGTGATGCCGCCTTTCAGGGCATATAACGTTTGATTCAAAATTTTTTATATTTTAGTAGTTATGCACCTCCCAAAAATGGATTTTGGTGGCTCGGGATAAGAGACTTGTAGTGTCTTTCAGTTTTTGAACATGGCCGGAGATGCTACCGCGTCTCCTGATAATATTTAAATAATAAATATTTATGTATGTTAGATTCGTTAACATAAAATATTTATGTATAAAATTATAAATAAACGAAAAAGGCTATATTCCATTTTTAATACATTTGTTCATTTTATTCTATATTGAAAAGCATATTTTAAAGCAATACAAAAAATATTAATAAAATTATAATTAAATACATTTTTACGATTACTTAATAAGCAAGAGTAAGAAAAGATATATCTAAATTCTGAATATACGCAAATATTTTTTTACAATTTATTTCCTTGATCAAAATTATAACACTACACACGTATAAAATTTTACTCGAATAAAAATAGAGATTAAGTTGATGCTTGATTGATTAATTTGCCAATTCAAATCGAAATGTACTTGAGCAATATGCTACATAAAACATAATGGATATTACCTGCTGCGATATCATGCAAAATAGGTATCGTGAGCGTTAAGGTGCCTTTTCATGCTGACGCTAGACGCTCATTTTTAGCGTCAAAATAGGCCACGTGACTAAGATTGACGCCAGCGGTCAGTGTCAATTAAAATCAGCGTCAGTTATAAGTATTTTAGTAGCAAAATTCGTGAGTGTCATTAAATATGTCATTTGCTAATAAATATCACTTTTGGGTAAATGAATGTAATAAAAAATTGCTAAAAAGTAAACAACTAAAAGAAAAAATTCTAATAACACTTGTTATTAATGAGATACAAAAGAAGACAACAAGAAATTATTCTAAAAAACGTTATTGGGTGGAACCAGTATTTCAAGAACGCAAATTACATGGATTTTATCATACAATATTTCCCATTATTACACTACAAGATAATAGATTTCGAAATTATTTTCGTATGAGTGTAACACAATTTGAAGAATTATTGTGACACCATGATTGCACCTTTTATAACTAAACAGACTGTAATTAGAGAACCGATATCAGCTGAAGAACGACTATGCATGACATTAAAGTAAATCTATTTAAAAAATTTATTTTTTATTTATTTTTCATGTCACAAATTTATATAAGTATAAAATTTATTTTATAAAGATTTTTGGCATCTGGTGATTCTCCTGGTGATCAATGACCTCCATATCTTATCAATATCTTGTTGGACTGACAACTGTCAGTAAGATTATTGAAGAAACTTGTAATACTATATGGAATTGTTTGGTAAAGAAAGTACTCCCATCTTGTTCAAAACAAGATTGGTTAAATATTGCTAACGAATTTGAAGAAAAGTGGAATTTTAATCACTGTATTGGAGCAATCGATGGGAAACATGTTCTTATTCAGGTATACATATACATATGTATGTGTATTTGTTTGTACATAAATGTATTTAAAAACCAAAGATAAGCAAAGGCATATAAGAGTCACATACAAAATTATAAACAGCAAATTCATAACATGATAATACCTTTACTATTCTTTCCTGATTATTAATTTGACTACGTCGAACAATTGTACTACCATCATCTATAAAATATTAATATTATATTAAAATATATAGTAAGTTTTTTAAAATGGAATAAGAAATTAATTTACCTAATACTGGATAAAAATATAAAGTATTTTCATCAACAATATAATTATTGTAACCTTCCAAACAAGAATGATCTTTTTAAATTTTCGACTTCACATATCTCTTCGCATATTCCGCAAGTGTGTACAATTCCATATTCCTTGAAAAAAATAAAAATATGGATAAAAAATATCATTTAATAAAGAACTTTTCAATTGCAAGTTTATCAGAAAATATAACCTATATAAGTTAAATTTTCTAATGGACTTACTACACTGTCTACTGTTGATTTTATTATCGTAATTAAAATATCTTTTAACTACAAACTAATAATGAAAATATTGTTTTACTTACATTTTCCATGTTTATCTTACTAAAAAACTACGTTAATTGCACGATGTTGCTTGACGCTAGAAGTTAGAAAAATCCAACTTCTTCTTTTTGACGCTAGCGTCAAAGTTATGTCACGTGACAACGCTTAACGCTGCTTTTCAGCGTCTCATGAATTAGCACCTTTACCGATGGCTAGTAAATGTTGAGAAATACCGTTTGAATAATATCCTTAACAATTGCTTCGGTCACGAAGAAGAAAGTGTTATCCCCAACAATTTGTTGCATTCATTGAACCGATTAATCCTTTTGCTTAAACGTGGCAATGTTATGTAGTCCTGCTTTTTCGCAAGATGGTTGATTCTTGAATATTGAATAATAATATCGATAAAAAAATCAATAGACAAATGTTTAATAAAATAATTTTAATAATTCAAGCACATTCTCTGCAAACATTTATGATTTAATATGATACAACAAATTGATTTCGTAACTTAAAATAAACTTGGCGGAAACATAACCACTTATCAAAAATGTAATATCTTAATATGCTTTCAATGACATACGTATACTTAAATAATAAGCAATTAGTTTGAATGAGATCAATTCTGTATGCAAACTATATTACGTTATAATATATGACAATGGCAAGCAAAACACCCAGTAGGTACATAAGTTCGTATGAAGGGACGTGGTGGTTGCGCTGGGTCTAGGTTTAAAGAGTCCTCGCTTTCGTCGCTTAATTCTCCAATGCTGAACGTATCTGTGAGATCTTGTTTGTGCTTTGAGGAATCCTTCGATTTCACCGGAAAGAGAGTCATTTCATCCTCACTAATTACACACCAAGTAGAATCCATTGATCACATACAAATATTTTTTTACAGATGTGATAAAATAATCGAGATATAAATTAATATCTTTAATTAGACGATATATTATGTAACATTAAAAATCAACTTTTAAACACAAGTAAGCAAAGAAGATCACATTTGATCAAAGCAGATGTGTTTGATCAAAGCAAATGTGTCAGTTATTTATCAGTCTTAAAACATAATCCTAAACTGAAGGTGAAGTAATATCAGAAATTAAATTAATAAGCAATTTAATAATACTGATACTAATCTTTAAAACACTATAAAGAATTTATTGCAATTACATTATCTGTTATCGTCGAAATCACTTACTCTTTATAAAGGGTTTTATAAAATGTTTATTGGCAATCTTGCTCCAATTTTTAAGATAATAACTACAGTGTATCACCACACTATAGAGATCACCACCTTTTTGCGTTCTTTTTTATTCATTGACTCTCAACATTTTATTTAATGAGATTATTACTGTTTTACTGCCGAGAATTTTCAATGACTAATAATTTGACTTGCAACATTATAATACAGGTGACATGAAGAATACTGAAAAAACCATATATTTTATAGATTTTTAATAGTTTTACAATTATAATGTCTTTTATGTACTGTAACATTGAGAATGTGTCGACGTCGAAATGTTTGTTATTATTATTATCTTTATTATGTTTTTAAATTAAAGTTTTTTATTTTATGACTGGCTCTTAGCCCTTCAATTTTTCTAATTTATTTTTATTGCAATTTATTCAAATTGGAAACTGTAAGATTCACATAAAAATATTATTAAACATTAAGATATGCTTTGAATAAATGTGACCTTCGCTCATCTGTATTGAACATTTCTCAATCAATTTTTACTTAACATTAAACCTTTAAATATAATACAATATAATGTGCCAATATTGTTTGACAATTCTTTAGACCCTGTGTATAATGGAGGAAATATTAGGAATTAGAAAAAAAACTATTGATTAGAAATAAAAAATGAAATATTAAGATTTTAACTTATAAGCAATCGTGTAATTGGTATATAGTATAGATTGAAATCTTAATATTTATTTCTGATCCTAATATTTACTCTATTGTGTGCAGGTCCTCACATTGTATGTATATGATTGTTTAATAGTTGTAATAGTACCTTTCACTTTCACTGTGCCAATATTCAACTAAAGGTAGGTGCTCTTTATTTTTACGTGGTATAGGCAATCTTTGTATTGATATCAATCCAGCAGAACTGCTTGCATTTTCATTGTCATGTTTTGGAAGTTTTATGTAATCTGAATTGCGTTGAATTCGTTTTGCCTGTTCAATGCGTATCTCTGCAGAACAATATTATTACGTACAACAAAGCAATACTAAATTATACTAATTATTGCAAAAGTAATGTTGAAATAAAAATGTTACAAAAAACTAAAAGCTTATTTTAATACCAAGTTTCTTTTGCAGCTGTTTCGTTGTATTGCGTTGAGTAACCTGTGTATTATTACTGCTACAACTACTATCACTACCCTACAAAAGATTAAGACCTTTTTATACCATTCAATAATTTTTTTCATCTTGTTAAATCATTATTTATATATAATAATTATATATGACAATAATAGTCTCATATATTACTCTATCAGGAAAGTCTAATAATAAGTATCTGTCAATATGTTTATTAAAATAGGTATTTACCAAGAAGAGTCTTTCGTCCTCAACGTGATTAACAGCTTTGGGATCACTATCAATACCGCTATCTTCCATGATTAAATACGTTTAGAAATATAGAAACTTCTTTTAATTCATCTGAAACAAAAAGAAACATCTGCATTATTTTATTTTGCCATACTAAAGCTGATCAAATGTAAAAAAATCAATAAAAAACTGAAAGGTCATAAATATAAAACACATATTACGATTAACAACACCACTGTAATTAACAAATGCTGATATTCAGTCAAATGATAAAGAGGTTGAATACATATGTCTGATATGTCATACTGCTTTTATGTATCATTTTGAGATTTTCAAAACTTAACAACATAATATGTTACTCTTAGTCACTTCTCGTTATGAGAATTGTATAAACTAATATTTTATAAAAATTCTAACAAATAATATTCGCACATTCTATACAATAATCATCCTACAACTTGTTGGAGTGCTCATATTACGTGGTATAGTCCATTATTGATTTTCTCTGTAGGATAACCCCAACGAGAAAAGCATGCTTGTTCTGGTCGCGACAGAAAAAAACTAGTATGACTGTATAATTCATACGAATTGAATTATGCTAGTTATGTTTGACAATCACATGACATGTTGTTACATGTATGAATTTTGTACATACACATGTATTAAATCCAGAACTGCATCTAAAACTATATAAAATTTCTATATTAAATATAAAAATGTAAAATAAAGTTGTAAATTTACTGTCAAGTGAAAAAAGATTCGATATCTGAAGATTATAGAAATATTTTTTTATTTCAAATTAAAATCATATATAGATTAGATTGACAATACTATCAAAGGTTGGCGTTTCCTAGGAAACTGTAACAGACTTCTCAATGTTGAATAATATATGAGAAAAAGGTGTTTAGGATTTTTATCTATTATATGTCTTTATATATTTTATCACAATTGTATTACAAATCATTAAAAAATAATATTCTTGATTTATAAAATACATTTTGATAAGAACAAGCAGTGCTCAGCAGAATAAAGTTTGCCTCCTCATCATTAGTAAATCACACTGTATATTAAAGAGAGAACATACAACTAAATACAATATTCATATTTGTAACGAAATACGAAGAAAAAGGTAATTCAGTTTTAACTGATCAATTGCCAGATTGCTTCGATATATTTTTAAATACAAAGGAAACAATGGCACCGACAATACCTAAAAAGATAATCTCGAAAGTGTCAGAGACAAGTAAAGAGGTACATATTTATCATTATAACATAATAAGTAAAAAAAAGTAACTCGTCATATTTAAGAAAATTAAAAAATCAAAATTTTACAGCATTTATCTTTAGCGAAGAGTTACATGTCGCGACAAGATTTAGGTGCTGGTGATATGGATTGGATGCGAGGAAAGGTTTTGTTGAGACCAGATGATCAACTGCAGTTAACAGAAACAGTACGTCTAATGTCTCTCTTAATTTTGCTGTTAAATAGTTTAGCTGTACCTAATTTTTATTATCTCAGGAATTACAAGAGGAATTTGCTAAAGTGCTAACTATACATAATACCAGGGTACCAGATTCCTTAGTTGAATGGTCATGGAAATTACGTCAATTTGTAAGATTACCTCCTCCGCCACATTTAGTAACTCTTCTGAATGTAACTGGCACTGTACTACACAAAGACTCTGAAGAAGCCAAAGTGCAATTGGCAGGAGGAACTCTTGGTGAAGTCTTTTTATTTATTGTAATAATTAAATATTAAATGAAATATATAATTATAAAAACATATATATATATATATATAAACTTAATAGAATAGTTTAGATTCTCATATATAAAATAATTATGTATTCATACAATTGTAATTTCACATGTAGTTGAGAATCAGGAGGAGACAACAGATGAAAAATTGAAGCGCGATGAAGCGGAAGAAGAAACAGAATATGAAGAAGATGAAGAAGGTAGGTATAGAAAACATTGATAATTACATAAAACTTAACACATCACACATTTGATATTTTCGTATATTTTTTTAAATAAAAACATAAATTGCATATTCCATAAGAATAGTAGAAGAAATAGATAAAACGGTGGAAGCGCTAGCTGAGGCCGAACGTGAACATGAATTAGAAGCTGAGCCGGAACCTGAGGAAGATGAAATAGAAAAGATAAAGCCCAAGAAAATACCTAATCAATTCAACTTTTGTGAGAGAGCAGCGTTGACATATGATAATCCTATGAGGGCATGTATATTATGATCTTTTCTATGTATTAAATATATTTAAATTTTATAAACTCTTGCTCTTAGATATAGAAAGTAAATCAAATAAACCTTGCAGGATATGAGTACACAAACTATACCTCCGCCCACTGCAACTTTCAATGCCAATGTTTTCCAGTGGACTATCTTTGATGAATATCAGGTATAAACGATCCTTTCAATTAATTATAAATAAATTTAATAAATTATTTCCGACACAAGATTATGAATGCTTCATTTGATATTACATTCAGCACGTTATTATACAGAATAAAATTTGTATAAATAGACATAACATTTTTATTTGAGAAATATTATACACACACACCCAGAAGTCTCCACTTTCTTTATTTTGTCGACAGGAAGATTATGCTCAACAACAACGTGAAAAGGAAAAAGAGAAAAAAGCTCCTTTGACACAACCAAAGAAAGAAGACGTGAAGAAAAAAGCCCAACTGGAATCTTCAGCAATGACAAACAGAATGTTACAAGCTGCAAAAACGTTAGAGCGAATGGTGAACCAAAACATTTTTGACGATATATCACAAGGTAGACTTTTTAGTTTTTTTTCGATGAAATCTTAATCTCAAGTATACATATTTCCTTAATTGTTGTTAGATTATAGATATTGGGATGATCCTAGCGATGAATTCAAGGAAGGCGAAGGCTCCTTATTACCTCTATGGAAATTTTCTTACGAAAAAACTAAGAAACATGATGTTACAGATATGTGCTTTAATAGTAGATATTACGATCTCTTTGCAGTCGCTTTTGGATCACGTTAGTAGAATATGCATTTAATTTTTATAATATTTAGGTTACAAATAAGAACTATAATGTATGTATTTTAGTATCATTTAATAGTCCAATAACAAATGGCACAGTCTGCTTATTTAGCTTGAAGAATCCATCATATCCAGAATGGATTTGTCCGACAGAATCTCCTGTGATGTGCCTAGACTTTAATGCTCAACATCCTCATCTTTTAGTTATTGGTGTGTAATAACATCATTCCAAATATTTAATTGCATTATAAAGATAAGTTATTTAAAGGTATAAATTTTGAAAATGAAAATTTTAATAAAATATTTACATTAGTTCGTAGTCTAGTTTCTAAAGTAATTATGATGTCATTATTATATGCTAACATTAATTTATTAACTAAGGTACCATGGACGGAGCAGTGGCAATTTATAATGTAATGTTACCACCATCCACACCGCAATACAAAAGCAACGACGTCGTACAGAAGCATGGAGGGTTAGTATGGGAGGTCTGTTGAATATTTTAACTCTAATACTTTATAATAAAACTGAAAATTTCATGAGAAAAAACTTTCAACAAAAATTAAAAAATATATGTACTGATTGCAGATTCGTTGGGCCCCTGATACAGAGGAAGGAAACCTGGCGTTCTTTAGCGTTAGTATCGACGGTAAAATAAATCACTGGGTATTAAATCAAAACGATCTCGGTCTCACCACTATTATGACGCTATTCCTGGACCAACCACCTATACCGGGACCAGATGGCACGATGATTACACTGAAAGGTAATAATAAAAGGAAATCAGAAGTCATTACGTCTCGTAATAATTATGTAAACCGTTTAAATCCAGGATGCGGAACGTGCATCGCATTTCATCCTGCCGATCAGAATGTTTTCCTGGTGGGTACGGAGGAGGGTGCCATGTACAAATGCAATACAGCGTATAGTAGCATTTACATGAGGACGTATCACGAAGCACACACTATGCCGGTGTATCGAATAGTATTCAACAAGTACAATTCCAGCATTTTTGCCAGCTGTTCAGGCGATTGGCGAATAAAAATCTGGGAAGATGAGAGACCGTAAGTTACATCTTTATAATTACACCAATTTTATTATATTGATACTTTGTACGCAGAGAACCTTTATTCATGTTCGATCTGGGTGTTCCAATTGGAGACGTTCAATGGGCACCGTATAGCTCTACGGTATTAGCTTGCGTATCAAACGATGGCAAAGTTACAGTGTTTGATTTGAATGTTAACAAATACAGACCAATCTGCAATCAGCAAGTCGTCAATAAACGAAAAAACAAATTGACCCGATTAGCTTTTAATAATGTTTTGCCGTTTATAATAGTTGGCGATAATAAGTGAGTATTATCTATTTAATTAAACGATGTATAGAGTCTTAAAAATATATTTTATATAACACTTGTAATTCGTTTACTCAATATCTAATTTTGCAGAGGTACCGTGAATACACTGAAACTATCTCCAAATTTACGGATAAAGGTGAAACCAACAAAGAAGCAACTGCATTTGTCACATACGGAATTAGAATCTATGAAATTAGAAAAATTACTCAGCTTTGTGCGAGAGCCGCCAGTACTAACTCCACCTAAAGACGTAAGAACAATTACTTAAAATTGAACGAGTAAGAACACGGATTTCGACCTTTTATGAACAACAGTGCTTTATTCATAATTGCTATAACAGACGGATACATATACATCTCTATATTTTTACAAATAAATTGGCATTATAATTATGCAATAGAGAGATCAAATAGTTCTACGAAGTAGTTATGTACTGAACTCTTATTCCCGAAAAAAGATCATTGTAAATAGAATAATTCAACACCTCGTCGCTTGATACAATGAAACTAAATAAAATAATTTTAATTTAAATTATTCGGATAAAATATTGTAGTGTCTTTTAGTTTTTGAACATGACCGGAGACACTACCGCGTCTCCTGATTGTGTAACTTTTTAAATTTGATAAATGCAATAAACATTTATTTTTAAATGCTTTCTCCCATTCTATTTAAAAAATTATAATTGTAGAACTTAAACAATCAAATTCCTACTATACGTATAAATATTTATGAAATATTTTTCACGTTTTATAGTTCAAGATACATTATTAAATGCCTCTATTTCATAAATAAAATATTTTAAAAATATTGTGAGATCAGATCTGTGTTTTTTTTAATATATATTTTTAATATTAAATATTTAATATTATATAAATCTCTATAATAGAATACAATCCAGAATACTATAATATCCATTAATAAATAATAATAAATTTAGAAAAAGCTAGTACAATAAAAATGTATTTATACAACATTTATATCTGCAAATCGAGTTAAAAATACTGAATTTATTTGGCACAATATATTATCAGATCAATTCATGCAAGAAGGAAGTTCATGATTTTTATTATTCCAAGCTGAGTTGGTCAAAGATATAAAGATAACAACAATTATTTGTCATCATTTCTTATTAAAGTAAGATTTGAATAAGACAAATAAAAATGTTTACAAGTCTTCACCGTAGACGAAAGACATTGTCAAGTTGTAATTTTTATTTAAATATTAACGTTTTCATGCATAGATAATTCCTAATATCGTTAGATACGTAATGTTTCGATACAATTATCAATTCGATAGCGATAAATGTGGCTTAATTCTTGAAGTACCGATTTCTATAAAATCAAGTAACAATACGTCGTACTCTACCGCAAATAATCTTGTACAATTAACCAGAAATTGACTAATCAAAGATAAATTTACCCGGTAATTCTGGATTCTCTATCACCCCCTTAAAGTATTTAAGTTCTAGGAAGTCTCTAATATTATTTGGACATGGCACTTGTCTACCGGCAAACTCGATGCTCGACATCGGATGAAGAAAGTGCTCTGGAAAGTCTTGATTCTTCAGGAACCATGCGTCCTTCGTCATGGATCCGTTGCGTGTGTAAAACGGCAGCAGATTCACATGCAAACGGTTGATCTTGGAGTACTGTACCTTGAAGAATTCGCCCTCCGTTGCCTTCTCCCAAATGAAACCGTCATCATCAACGACTGGCTTGCTTTTGGCTCTAATCAGCCACGGCGATCTTGTTAAATCATCTCGATTCAATCCGATTTGTACCTCATGATCCCATGGTAGAATATCACCGTGCCTCATCGCTCCCAACAATGATTGACCCTCCAACCAGAATCGTATGCCGACCTCCTCCAGCTTGTCGATAACGTGATAGGTGACTTTTCTCAATCCGGCCAGACAGCAAGGCGGTGTGTATCGATGTTGATAGAGATACGATGGCACACCATTTATTACTGAGCCAAAACATCTTGGAGTTTCCCGCGAACAACCATACCACTCTACGAAGCCGGAAGCCCTCGTAAGTTTCTTTATCCCCAATTTCTCGAACATTAATCGCTCACGCGTACGATATAGCTGTTGCACTTTGGACTGTGCCTGTTGGTTTCTATACAACGGTTTTCCCTCGTTGAACTGATACTTTTTCAATATATGTACCTAACAACAAATATATATTAGGAAATATTATACTATTATGTATATTATACAAAAAAAATATAAATATTGATTAATAAAAAACATTTATTTTAAGATAAATTTGAATTTTTTCTCAACATAGAGAAAACAAATAAAAGAAATATTAGTAATTTTTAAAGGAAATGCAATAATAAATAAAAAATACTTACCAAATTAAAATATTTAAAAGTAAAACATTGAATACAAAGAACCTTGCACTAATTAGATAAAAAATTGAATTCACAAAATTAATTTTTATATATAATGTAGTTTATAATGTGATAAAGATGTCGTATAAAGCTCAATAATAATTAGTTTTTTACTATGGTGTATCAAAGAACTCTCTCTGTGTGTGCGTGTGCGTGCGAATACAAGTTTTACACCTTTGATAAAATAGTTTAAAAATTATCTATTATTCTATTGAGCTTTGTACCTATGACATTTTTTATTCACCACATTATAAGCTAAAGTATATCTATGAAAATTAATCTATTTTATATAAAGCTTTTCTATATAATTAAAAGTGTAATTATATAGTAGTAAATTAAATTGTGGTTACATGTTATATGAATATTAACTCATTTCACCAGGATCCAATTGTCTATTGTATATAATTAATATAGGATCCTTTATACAACACACACTCTCACAAGAACACAAAATTGAAGATAAAATATTCACAAACTAATCACAAAATCCTTGTATGATATAATATCTGCATTTCATATTTAACTATGTAAATCCAATTAGATATAAATAGTCAAACCACATCAATATGTCACACAGAAACAGATTAATGAACTTATTACTCAATAAATTACATTCAAAAAAAATAAAATAAGAAAGCAATACATAATTATCTTAAATTATACAAAATGGAGTACCTTTTCACCAATAGCTGTTGTCTGAATGTACAACGCATCTGTAAAAGGCAGCAGGAATGGATTTTACAATTTTCTTAAAATCTTTGCCTCAAGCATAGTTACATGTTTGCCCATTACACTATCACATTCTGTTCCCATAACTCGTGTTATCTTTAAACTCCATTCTCTCACTTTTAAATCTAATTCGAGACAATGTAAAACTATCTTTCCCACTGGTACAATAACAATTCCCAAATTTGACACTTGTGCGACAGTTTCCTACAAGACATACATTAAAGAGAATAACAAATTATATGCTGTTGCAAGAAAACAGTAATAGTTTCTAAATATCACAACAAAGAATATTTACCTGCATAATTTGCTTAGTCGATAATCTTGTTGTATCAGGTAAGAATAGGACAAACTTAGTACGTATATAGAAGAGTGGATTCCTCTCTTCAGAGGACTTATTGAACTCAGGCTGTAAGCTAATCAGTTTAACGTTCCTCATACTCTCATTGGCAAAGTCCAGCTCCAATGGTGGATAGGGCAATTCATCGCAGATTATCAAGACGGGTATCTCTGGGAAGGAATTCAAAACTGACTCCACCATGGATGCCACATCGTTTTCGAAGTTCTCGAACTGCCTGATGACAATGGTGACCAGATGACCTAGGCACCGTTGGTGCTTCTGTGAGTGCTCGTTCATCGTGACGCTCGGCGTCAGCAAGCTCAGAGTGTTTTGCTCCATGGATAGCCGCCATATCCTATGCCAGACGATGAGATTTCCTAACAGCGCGAGGATCAGAAGCGCTCTGACAAATTTCAGGCGCATTATTGTGGCATGCGATACAGTCCCATCTTACATCTTATAATATATTACACACGAATAGCGCGTGTCCTCACAGCATCCCAGTGTCGAGCTTCGCCATCGAGTTCCAACGTCAAGTTTTTGACAAAATTTGAAAATGTTTTTGTCATGTTGAATCCTGGAATGACGACCAATAGTAGTCTTCACATACGAATCATCTCGATGAGTTGTCGCTTTTATAAAATTAACAAATATATATGACTAAAAGCTTCATTATTCAATAAAGACACTCACGAAGTTGTTGCGTCAACTTTTTAGGTTGGATATGTCAGCTTTGATTATTCAGCTGGTCCAGAGTTGCCAGATATGTGATACGTGAAATCGCACACCGAGCGCGCTCAAGTCGCCCAAAATCGCAAAATAATGTATCAATTTACTAAATAAAAAAAAAGGGAAGCATACATACATACAAAATAATGTAGAATACATATAATGCAAATTTTGTTATACGTAAATTTCCTTATTCATTTAAATATTATCTCTTATAAGACGGTTATATGAGAACTCAACCAATGAAAAATCCTTATTTATTATTATTATTCTAAATCACAATAAATAATTTCCAGACTAGTCAAGATGTTCTTTAAAATAGCTATTAGTAAAAAAAAGAAATATTTGGCACAATAATTGCACTTACATTTTTTTAACAAATGACAAATCGACCTAAGTCCTACAAAATGTTAAAAAATGAATATGCAATAAGTTCATCTTCTGTTGGAAAAATTTCCAATTTCGTCCGGATGCACTCAGATATTGTATTCTTGTGGCGTCACATGGAGCATGGAGCGAAAATAATAACGGAATGGAACAGTGAGACTAATCAGAACCAATCAAAACTCTGCAATCATTTTGCTTTCTTTTCTGTGATTGTGATCGATGGTCTCACTGTTCTGCTCCGGTGTAATTTCTATTCTATAAGATGCAAAATTGGCTGCGTTCAGCAGAGAAAGCAGCTTTGCAATTGTTGTAAAATTCTTTAATATGATTGGTCTTGCCCTTATTTCCCTATTACATCTAAATGTATAAGCCAATCATATTCAAGAATTTTACAACAGTTGCAAAGCTGCTTTTTCTGCTGAACGTAGCCATTGCTTTTTCTGCTAAACGCAGTTGCTGGATTCACACTGCATCCGATTTTCGTCGTACGACGACTCTGCAACCAATCAGGAAACAAATTTTTGCTTCGTATTGATGATACGACTTTTCTGATTGTAAAGTCATCGTACGATGAAAATCGGATGCAATGTGAATCCAGCAAGTGTGAATGTGAATTGTCTGATGCTGGATTCAGAAAAGAGCGCTACTAGAGCGCTCGCTGTTATTGGTATATTCTTCCAGATTTAAAATTCTGATTGCATGATTCTAGAAGAATACACCAATAACAGCGAGCGCTCTCGTAGCGCTCTTTTCTGCTGAATGCGCCCACTACATCCGATTTTCATCGTACGATGACTCTGCAACCAATCAGAAAACAAAATTTTGCTTCGTATGGCCGATATTTCATGTGTCGTACGACAAGGCTTTTCAAGCCTGTTTATTGGCTGTAAAACAGAGAGATTCTCGGATCTCTCTGTCCTATAGCCAATCAACGTGCTTGAAAAGCCTTGTCTTACGACACATGAAATATCGGCCTATTGATGTTACGATTTTTCTGATTGGTTGCAGAGTCGTCGTACGACGAAAATCGGATGCAGTGTGAATCCAGCATGAGGTTTTATTACATCATGGCCGACCTGTCATCCGTCATTTCGCGTTAACGTCAAATCTAGTTAAATCTTTGACCGTGCGATATATAGGTTTACGTGTTTTTGCTCGTCGGCGAGATAAACGGAAACCATTGAGCATGCCTCTGCATCGGTACACGCACGCAATCCTCTGTAGGATTCCATTATCGCTACGTACACGGGGTGAGGTAACTTTGGACGAAGCTAGGACGCAGCACCTGGCCTTGGCGCAGCTTCTCCGCGAGCTCGACATCGACGTCGTCGAGATGCCACCCGACGAGAATTCGCCGCTTTGCGTCTTCGTCGAAGACATCGCCGTTGTTTGCAACGGTATCGCCCTAATCGCCCATCCAAGCGAACCATCTCGCCTCAAAGAGGTACACAATCTAGATTTTGTCAAAATTCATTTGTATTGATAGATCGAGTTAGAATAGATATCAATAACGATTTAATGTGTATGAATCAAGTTTCAAACTTAATTTCTTCATTGCTTGTTTTTAAATTGTTCTTTTGTATATTTTCAGCTCGATACCATCAGAGCTGTGTTGAAAAAAGAGCTAGAGATACCATTGATAGAAATAAGCGACAAAAATGCCCGCTTAGACGGCGGAGACGTGCTTTTTACTGGTAAATTTTAATCGGTGCATTTAATATTTTTGATATCTCACTACTTGTGTTTTTAAATGTAAATAAATGCCAGAAGCATTATACATTTTTACATTTACTAATGCAAAAATATTTCGTCACAGGTAGAGAATTCTTTGTTGGACTGTCTCATTTTACAAATGAAGCAGGAGCACGAGCAGTTGCTGCAGCATTTCCAGAATATCCATGTGTACCCATCAAGGTAAGTAATCTTGTGGATTAACATATCTATAGCATCTAATATTTTTAGAAATTATTAACATCTCCTTTTAAACATAATTCACAAATTTTTCATTACATACTAATGTATATCGCATGTCTCATTAAATTCAACATTTGATATTAAAGTCATAAAGACGATTAGTATGGATGATTTTGTGCTATGCACAAGAATAATTTTAAACCTTAAATATGTGCTTTTAAAATGAAAATGATATATATTTTTTTTTTTGTCTAATGTGTGTTCTTTATACTTATGATTTTTATCTTAACTATTTACAATTTATTAAAGATTAGTAATATTTTATTAGATATGACTTTATAATTTTTGTGTCTATTTCTGAAAGCATTTTATATCTTATATCTTAACTATATATGACAATATTTCATTATTATTAGAAACTACTTCAAAAATTAATTTAATACTGAAATGTAATATATTTACTGTTAACTTTTGTGATTGCTTTTCAATACTGATTTTATTCTTGAAATATAGATCCAATTTAAAATAAAACCTCTATGTAATAGATGCATGTTTCAGTCTGTTAGTGACAATGAAAGTTTTGTATCTATTCACAGCACACATTGTATATTTATAAAAGGTATATGTACCTTGTGGATTTGCGTCAAACTTCAACAGAATATCATGCTCACTCACCTTATTTTTCTAATGTTCATTTAAGGTGGGTGATGGTGGCGAAGAGGTGATAGTGGAGAATCTTACCTCAGCCCCTCTTCAGGTTTGGGTGCACTAAACTGACCCTTTTAATATGTCATTAAAGAAAAATTTAATTAAAAAAAAAAGAAAAGAAATAAAAATGAATATCTTCACAAATTAGAAATGCAAACTTGCACGATTTTGAGAAACTTTTTTTCTTATGTAATAATTTGAGAATTTTACAAACTGCTTTTTTGGAATTGTGATAAGTTACACAAGTTCCAGCTTGACACTTGAACCGTGCACTTGAACAATACCACGAATCTTATTCACTCACCTTAGCATGCATATGATTTAGCACTTAACTTTAAGCGAAATATTTAAAGGCGTTACTCATTTTGTTCACAAATTATCGTTGCATAAATATATATTATGTATATTATAAACTCATTGTGTATATGCACTTTTCAGATAACATATATATTTATGTTTTACTGTTTACATTACAAAACACTGTGCACAATTTATCGATATATTAAAAACTATTATGGATACCATAATAATAAATTAAGATTATAATAAATGTTTTAATATAAATGTTTTAAAAATACATAAAAGTTCTTTTAAAAATTAATATATTGTATAAAAATATATGAATTAAAAAGAAAAAGAAAAGAAATTATTTTATTGAATAAAATAGTTTATAGTTTTTGTGAATTAAATTTAATGCAATAATAATTTTCTTAGTTTATTCAAGTGATGTAATAGAGAATTAAAAACATGATATACAAAATGTAATGATAAAATGAGTACACATTGATTATATAGTGCATTGCAATATTTATTTATTTTCTGTATTTCTTAAGATAGTAACTTAATATCTTTCTGCTTAGGTGGCTGAATCCAAACGTTTAAAATCATTGGTTACAATGGCTGGACCAGATGTTATATGTGTAGGGGCTGGAAAAGAATCTCAAGAAGTTCTCAAGGTTGGTCTTAATTTAAACTAAATACAAATCATTTTAAGAAAGATACTGTTCCAAAATTCCATCATTTACACTAAACTTGCTTTCACTCAGACTTGCTATATGACAGATGAATACTGCTACTGTTTTTATGGAATTAAGTCTTTTTTTTTTAATTAATGATTTATAATAATTACAGAAAAGTTTCGATTTTTACTTCTCTGATTTATTATGTAGAGAATCGAGCGAGAAGCAACATACAGTTACCAAACATTGACTGTGCCCGAGGATGTAGCCGCCAATGTGCTCTACGTGAATGGCACTCTTATTCATCGGTCGGAAGACGAAATTCCACAATCAAGTAAGGTGTTTGCTGAGAAGGTGGAGTTCTCGACTAGATCGTTGCGTTTGTCTGAATTGGCGAAAGTTAGCTCAGGTTTGTCCTCCTGTTGCTTATTGGTGCGCAGACCGCGACATATCCGTAGCATTTAAAGAAAAATAAGATCTTGAATAAGATTGTGAAAGGAGAATAAGATCTATCTTGCGATGTAATCGCAATCTACGCCACCAGTGCTATCCGCGAAACGTAAAATCGAATTTTCTTCTATCAAATCTGTGGAAAAATACGATACAATTCATGACAATGATAATTTATCATCTCGATATTTTGATAGTATTTTTTTTAAATTAATTTTTAAAATTTTATTTTATATTTTGCAAGAGAAAGATTCAGTATTTGAAGAGATTAATATATATAAACACACACATGTATAATATATATAATTTTTATATATATTTAGAGAGTAGAAAAGTAATATATTCAAATTTGGTATTAATTATTTATGTTTATGCTTTTTGCAAAGATAATCTTTCTATTCTTGTCATTTATTTTAATTTTTCGTTTTTTACACATGTGACTTTATTTCTAGTTGCAGCTATAGATTTTTTACTATAATAAGTAAGTATATTTATGCGTATTTTTGTTTTATTTATCGCTTATTTTGTGCATTTTTTCCTACGATATCCCAAAAAATATATTATAGAATAAAGCTACATCATTTACATCTTGTAGTTCTCAACGGGATTAATCTTTATAAAGCACGTAACACAATATGGCACAAATCTGATTTTATATATACACTATATGCATATAGAGGGGTTGGAATATTGACTTTTATTACGATATAGAATTGAATCAAAATTAACTTATAATTCAAATTATAATTAAGACTACACCCCAACGTCTACATATACACGCAACGATAAATTATTTGTAATCTGCAAGGCTTATGCAATCAGGAAGAATGTGATCGTACACTATCAGTATTCTAACTCCTGCAACGCATTCGCAACTAGTCTGAAACGTGTTCACATCGAAGCATTCAAATAAATATCTCTCTATCACCTATAATGTATCGCAAAGTTATCGATAATGTAAAAGCACTGATAGTTGTTATATTCTAACGAAGTTACGTAATTAAAAGTTTAAACAGAAATCGATATAAAATTTCTGTGTGAAACTTATATGAGACATATATATGAGACATTATGCTATATACTTGAAACATTGCAATACGTCTGATAGTATCGCAGTGATAAAGAATATGAAATAGAATTGCGATATACTTTGACACTATCGGTGTCGTTGTGACAATTTAGCATTTTGTACTACCGTAATGTTTAAGTAATCCTACAGTATATACGTCTGCTTTTACAATTTTTGTATGAATTCACTCTATTTTATAAGCATTAACATTTATTTTTTACATTATTTTCATGATGAAACTTGATGCTTTTGTAAACACTATAAATATTATAAGACAAAAATAAGCAGCTTTTAATACAATTAGTTGTGCAGTATTTACAGAATTTATTATAATTGTGTTTTGTATTCAAAGATTGTCAAGAGCTTATAAGTTCGCATATATATATATATATATATATCATATATACAATATATGTATATATAGAAATATAAAAGTTTTTAGAAAAAAGAGATAATTGGTCTTTTTATTATTAAATATACATATAGGTGCAATTTTATAAGTCACCGATACAAATGTTGCAGAAATTCTTTGAATTCCTTTGTATATAAAACACAGTATTATTTAAGATAAGGCACAAAAAGTTTGCATACAAAAACGATAAAATAATGCTTCAAATTATAATTATCACTTTACTTTAGATATTTATAAAATGTTGATTGTGTGATCTTTATACATTTCAAGAAACTGTCCAGATTTTTCGGAATCTAGAGATATTTTTCAGTCATTAAGAAAAATAATATATTCTTATTACATAACTGAATTTTTTTCCAGAGATTATTCATTATAGGTACATTTTTCAATAGTGCTTCATTCACAAGCGTATGTGTTCCTACATATAATAATAAAGGCTCATCATCATCAGCTTGTCTCTATTACATATATACATATATCACTGGATGTTTCGTTCTGCCATGGTCGAATCAATTTTTTCTATGTATACAGATGATTAAGTCTTTCTTTTCACTTGTAATACTGCGATATCGCCACCTATTGTGACGTATTCTATAGCTTTGTAAATACAATATCTCGTCAATCAGTTTCACATTAATATTATGAATAAAACGTTAAAACTGACGTATGATTGCCTCGGACCAGTAAAAACGGCGGCATGTCGCGTGTAAGTGTTTCTAGCCACGCCATGTAAAGAGGCGCTGATACAGCACCTTTCCGAGGCATCGGTAATGTCCTATAAATCAATCAATATTAATGAAAAAACAATCCGTCTTATAAAGAAACACAATCAAGTATCCTTCGATTTTCACAAGCTTTAGATATGTTAATGTGTAATAGGTGTAGACTGTACATTCTCTGATTTTAACATCTGTGCTTCTTGTGTTCACAATGTTAAAATCTTGGATGAAGAAAAAATTAACTAATCACGTTGATGAAATGATCGAAATTGTTTAAATACGATTCATTAATTCTTTCTCCATCCGAAATCTCGGAGTGATTTTTAACATTGTAGACACAAGGCTTTAGAAAGAATTGAATCATATAAGTGTATCTCTATCTCTCTTCAAATCGATACATTAGAGAGCACAATATGATTCAAAATACGTCACTCTTCTTTACTTATAAAAAAAATACAAGTTTCTCATTTTTATCTATCTATTTTGACTTTTATCTATCTATTCGAAACTTATTAAAATTGGAGGAATATTTGATTGTGTGCTACCTTGTCAACATAAAAATTTATGACAAATATTACTTACATAACGACTAAGTTGGCTTCCATAGAATTTTCAAGTAATAATTCACGCAAACGAAGATGTCTATTGGTTTTTTCTTTCATCGCCATAAGTTCCGAATCTTTAATAACATCTAAAAAAAAGATTGTTATATGGTATACATCGATAGAAAAAGTAGCTTATTAGTTTCATTTTATACTACTCATAGAATACATTTGAAATTACTCATATCATCGTCGTCAGAATTTTTCGAATCGGTTGATTCCTGAAAGTCGGCTATTAACGAATCAAAGAACGTCTTTGTACCAGTTTGTGCTGGCTTCGAGATATCCGGTATAACTTTTAGTGCAGAATAGTCTATCCGGAATTTCGACAGGAGACTTGCCATACTACAAAAAAAATTAATATTAATATCACCAAAAAAAAAATTATTTTACGTAATTATTTCTAGAAAAAACTCATCGTCAAAAATTGATACTTGCTTCCTTTGTTCATACTCCAATTCAGAGTTCTTGTTAGAAAGTGCGAATACTCTCAATTTGCTGTTAGACCAATTACGTCTGTTACTGATAATGTAGGGTAACAGAAGCGTTAGACCACCGTCATCATACAACCACCACACATCAATAGTACCCTTTTTATGTTTCCGTTGAAACTTCGTTACTACATTAAGTATATTTGTGATTGGTACTATATTTGGTCGATTTTCGCGTTGCTCCTCGGAAGATGGATTAGGATATTCGTTAATTGTTTTTGAACGTCTCGGTGCAGGACTGCCAGGGATTGATATGTCAGATGTGCTACTAGCTGTAATAATTATAATTTATTAAGCATCACTCCAGAAAAAGATATATTATACACTATCGCTCACAAATTTGGAGTACTCTATAGTTTTTATACAAAAACACTATTCTTTACAGATAAATTATTTTATTAATATCGATTTTTTTGTGAATGTATATTCTTGGAAAAAATTTATTATTGAAATAACATAAACTTTATATATATAAACTAATAACATAAACTTTGTATATTTACAATATTAATGGGTGTACAACTTTGTTTTACAGGTATAAATTTATACCTGTTTTTACAGGTATAAATTTATACCTGTAAAAACGGCGGGAACAAAGTTGTACACCCATAATAAAATTGTTTTTCTTTTTTTCAAAAATTAGAGATATTCTAGACTTTTGAGCAGTAGTGTATCATGCAACAACTAATACGTCAGATATATTAGATATATATTAGAAAATAAGAAAATTTAATAATTTGGAAAATAAAAGAGCTCAGAGCCAGTAAAGTACGATAAACATTTTAATCGCAAATAACATTACGTTATCAAACATGGTCGGGAACAGTTCTTTACTTTATTTGCAATGTTGCGTTTAGAAATAAATCTTACCATGAAGTTGATCATCGATATTTTATTAACTGAATCTCTACATAAGATTCGTATCTTTACCGAATTCAAAAACAAATTTGATTATTTTATACTACGATGTTAATATCGATATCCTATTAACTGAATCTCTACATAAGATTCTTTACTGTATTTAAAAATAAATTAGATTATTTTTATTTATTGACACACAACCTTATGACACATGACAAGAAGATATGTTTATACTTATAGATTTTAATAATTTTGCGATTATAACTAAAATATTACTGTATCATTGAAAATGATCCGATCGAAACGTTTGATAGATTATTTTTGAATTTAAATTTGTAAAAATTATTATATTCGTGTAACTCTTGTATATACGTAAGTAACCATCAATTTTATTTGCGATTAAAATATTTATCATACTTTACTGGCTCTGAGCCCTTTTATTTTCCAAAAGAAAATTTAATTTTTGTCAAAAACCTTGGCTAAGCTGCGAGAAACTTTGATTGCCCGGTATCGAAGTAGGCGCAAGTCTCTTTTGATCTTCGATATCTCCGATCGCACTGCTATCTAAGCCTTCTTGAAGTCGAAGAAGCACCACTGCTATATGCATATCTAGAGCTTTACTATAAGATACAGGAAAAGTTTTTTCTATTTTAAATTATCTAAAGTGTGAGACACACACACATACAGAGACAGAGAGAAAGAGAGGACTTACTGCATGACATTGAAATACATATTCAAATTTTCTCGAGGACAAGTAGCCCAATCTTGCTTGTAACCCATTAGCAGGATATTGGGCCTCATTTTTCCAAGTCCAGCAGCTTGTAAGAGCGAAGTAGCACCGTCTTGAAAATTCGAACTGTCTACCAGTGAGTAAAACGCCTTGATCTTGTTCGCCCTGAGCCAAGAAGAACAGTTCTGCACCATGCTGTTGCGCGTTTTGTATGATATGGGTGTCTGAAGAACATAAATATAAGTTATATTATCTGTTGAATAGGTACAGCAAATCGGCAAAAATAGAAACAATGATATGGCACCTCAATGATATGACCACAAATAAATAAACTCTGATGTTTAGTAATATGATGAGCGAAATCGACAAGAGATGATCTCGCGTTGGGCGCGCCAGTAAGAACCAAGAGTTGCGGTCTGTAATTTTTCACATGCTCTTCAACCCGATCCAGTTGTTGCACCGCAGTTAACGCGTTATTGTAAGTCTGGGCTTGTGTAGTTGAGCCCCAATTTACATCTGTAATATATTTTCATAAAGAGTACAGTGTATTGAAAAAAGCAGCGTTAAATAAAGATAAATTTTTATTGTGTGAATTACCAGGTTTTCTGTATGAGACTACTAAATATAGTGCTAAGACTACGCATAATGTTATTAGAGCCGTCCACCATGAGATCAGAAACATCACAGAAACGCAAAGAATAGCACCAGCGAGACTGAGCCACATATTATAATACTAAAAAAAAGGAATGAAATAATATAAAAGAGTAAAAATAATATTGTCATAGATATTACATTTTTTCGCTATAATACCTTGAAAGTTGGTCGCCACCCGATCGGCTTAGCCAAGGAAGCATGGAACGTACTGAAATTGATAAGAGTATAGGCAGCCAAGAAAAAGTTCGAAATTAGCGGCGCAATCGCATTCAATTCACCTGAAAAAAATTGAAATATGTATATGTGCTTGTATATATATATATATATATATATATAAAAGAAACAAATTTTTCGGTGTATATATATATACATATACATGTATAAAATTATCACTTACCTATTAAAATAAAAGCGACAGCGATAATGAAAGTAAGTAAATAACCGCGAATCGGCTCCTTATCTTTCTCTCCACTAAACCACGCAATTCCTGGATATAGTTTGTCAAGGCATAGAGCTTGAAATACTTTCGGCGCTGAAACTAGCGATGCTAAGGCACTTGAAATTGTTGCCGCGAAACAACCGGCATAGATAATAGGTCCAAAACCAGAAACTAATTGTATCACCTAGAAATAATCAATAGTATCATTTGCTTATTTCAGTTTTTTCGTATAATATTATTTCTTAATAATTGATAATTACTATTCATTATCTACTATAGTCTTTAATATCAATGATCGTCCAAATTTAACACGTAACTCTTATTTTTATTTAATTAATATCTTCAGAGATTAGTCTTATTTGTAAATAATAATTTATAATTAATTTATAATTTGTAAATAATAATAATAATAATTTATAATTTATAATTTTATGCACCTCGAAGCTATTGTGGGTGCCATATTTGCATCCTGCGGTACAGTTAAAATCCGTTCCATATATACTCCAGGATGTACGAGTGATATTCTCGATAACTGTACTGTTTTCGATCGCAGTGTCATTGTCTGCACTAGACATCGACAGAGCCAAAAGAGAGCTATTGTACGTCGTCCATAAATCAGTAACGTTGCCGGTCGCGTCTCGCATAACGGTACCGCCGACCATAATCGCCATCATCAAATATGACAATGACGTCAGTAAAATCGCGAGTAGTGTGCCTTTCGGTATCGCTATTTGTGGATCCTTTCAAATTAAAAATAAGATTAAAAAATGACACGAAACTTTCGCGTTGACATCACATAAAATATTATACTTGTAGATTTCAGTAATTATAATCAAGTAAAAATTGAAAATAATAAATAATTTTTTTTATCACTCATCGATGGAGGAAACAATTTATGACAGTATAGAAGATAATTTTATGGAATATGTAAACTAATAAATAATTAAATAGACAATAACTGCGTAAATTATATAATAAGGTAAGCATTAATTATAGATATTTTAATAATTTCTCATAGACGAAAAAGACTAAATCACCTTCAGGTCACCGGATATATTCGCACCTGCCAGAATACCTGTTGCCGCTGGGAAGAAAATGGCCAAGACTGAAAAGAAATTATGTTCCACGCCTTCGCTGTATCTATAGTTCGGATAAAAATTTTCCTTGAACAGCTCGGCTATAAATCACAAATTAATGAAAAAATTAATATAATAAAATTAATTCAATATCCATGACTTCTCATAATTACTATATTTTCGAATCGCCTCCGCCTTCCATTGTCCCCCTCACCTCACCTCATCACGCGCGGTTCAAATGCCGCACGACGCTCGAGCGACATTTGATCTGCGCGCGGGGCGGAAGACGGAAGCGACTCGAAAATCGGCCGAAAGTTACATACTTTATGTATTGTATGTTCACTTTGTACTGGTACCTTTAATTAATAATATATCAGTTACTTTTCATGATATTATATTATTATTAGATAAAAAGGTTTAAATTTTTTAGTATCCTTTTTTGAACATGGCTTGAACTTTTCATTTTCATGATATGATTTTTTTCGGATATCATTTACTTTTTAGAGTACAAATATATCACAAATATATAAAAAAATGATTTAAAAATATTATATAACGAAAGGAGTGAAATACGGCGAAAGAGAGGGGTGGTGGGGGAGGGGGAGAGAAGGGGGAGGGGGTGCGGTGGGTCGAAGATGGTGGAGGTGTGACTGAAAGATGAGAGGGGATGTTAGAAAGTTTTAATACGGCCTTGAATGCGGACAGAGAAAAAGAAGAAGAAGAAGACGTTCCTTAATTTTTCATTAAAATTATCACTTTTCGACCGCTTGTATCTCCAGAACGGCTCGACCGATTAAACAATTTTTTGGTTCAAATTACTCGTGGAGATGCCGCCTTTCAGGACATACAACGTTCGATTCAAATTTTTTTATATTTTAGTAGTTATGCACTTCCCAAAAATGGACTTTGGTGGCTCTGGATAAGAGACTTGTAGTGTCTTTCAGTTTTTGAACATGGCCGGAGACACTACCGCGTCTCCTGATGGAAAGAGTATATACGTGAAAAAGTGTTGCAATTACCATTATAACCAACGAATCCTTGAGCCCTCTCCAAATCACTCTTAGGGCCCACGAAAGTGCCAATCATAAAATCGCCAATAGCCATGAGAAGAATTATTAGCAAAAATATTTGGGCCTTTGACTCCCATTCTAAGCCGATTATAACAATTATCAGGAGTACGACTATCGTTATGCAGCCTATAAAATCAGTAAATGTAATTCGCATCGCTCTCAACATGATTTTAAAGCAAGAATTAAAAGAAGACTTAAAAGCGATATAATTAAATTAATTGCAACTTCAATTAACGACACAATAACTACAGAAAATAACGTCAGTGTTTAAATATACAAGTAATTGTTATATGTATATTAAAATTTACACGAGAATATTATTTAATCAAAATTATTATATTTTTTTATCTTTGCTATGGATTTATATAAACGTTTAGACCTATAATCCTGATATCCGTGGTCGCACAGTCGACTATGCAGGCCTTGAAAGGGCGGAGACAATCCACCAAGCTTTCACAAAAGCCGACTACATACATGGAACAGGCGACAGCGTTTGCTAGAGAAAATATAAGACCTATAGATCCGCCAAACTCAGGTCCCAATGACCTGGAAATCATATAATAAGTTCCACCTGTAAAAAGAAAAAAGATGCACATTTCGATTAACTGAGCCATCAAATCAACGCGAAAATTTATCGAGTCAGTTTACATGTGTGCAAACAATTATAAAAATATCCATTAGCTTGATACAAATTAGCTTGGTACAGTCACATAAAAGAATTTATAAAAAATGCAGTTAAATTTCGTTACCGTTACCCAAAAAATGTAACTCGTTACCGTTACAGTTACCAAAAAAAGAAAGTAACGCAGTTACCAGTAAAGTTACCAAAAAAGTAACTTGTAACTGTAACTTCGTTACAAGTAACGAGTTACTTCCATTCCCTGTTTATATGAAAGATAACAAAAAATTCATATTATATTTAAAAAATCATACAATTATAAGGAATGATATTTTTTACTTATTCTTTTTTTATTTCCAATGTCGTAGATATATGGTTCTGTTATTTAGTGCATAATATGTACCTCCTTTGATAAGACCGTTGGTACTAATTGCTGACATCGACAAGGATGTAATCGTCGTGACTACCGTCGTCGTGAGAATTAGCAACACACTCTGGCCTGGCACAACATCGACAACATTAAAATCTCAGAAAGCCAATGAATCGAGAGATATAATTCAATAAAATGAAACTTACCCACTCCGGTCTGCGCTACGACCCAGGAGAGTCGTAGAAAAAGCATTACTCCCCAGATATTGAGAAGACATCGCATCAGTACTCCTTGAATCCATCCGAACTTCACTCCTGACGCCATGGATTTCAGTTGTGGAACAGTTAATGTATGCGAGCCAGGACCCTGAAAATAAATCGTTCGATAAACAATATTTCTATTCAATTCTCATAGATGACATCAAGATAATTCAGTAAATGTTTTTATATTATTATTTGAGCATTGCACAATTCTTGTAATTAAGATCAATGCTCCGACTGGCTGAGCGCTGTATTCCTGTTCTTCCCTAAAATTTCTTTAGATAAACTTCCCAAAACGTTGCACTCTTTGATTGTATGCCATCAAAGATGACTACTTTTCTATGCACATCACATATAAGTATCGCACAATTGCGTCTATAAAATACGATAGGTAATTATGCGAGGAATTATGCATCGTGTCATTGAGATAATGTCTTCATCAATTCGATAGGATAATCGACGTACCGAGAGACTTCAAGGACGACTCTAAATGAATCCAAACGATTTGTTGTAGATGAAGAGGCGGCGATTTTGCGTTTTACCGAGCAGTCGGTAAGATTCGTCGAGCGGATTAGAGATTTAGAGGCGATTATCGAAGGCATTGAGATGACTCCGGTTTCGAGGAAGGATTCGCCACACGGCCAATGAAGTTTTAACGATTTATGTAAGACGAGCCTCGTATAGCCGGCTTTATGTCTGCAATATACCGTAACGTCCGATGTGGCGGAACCTTTCATAAACCTTTCACACATGAGATCCCTCAATTAGAAAAAAAATTGGAAATATCCTGAAACATTATCTGAGAAACGAGAGAGAGAGATTAAGTCTTTTAGGATTTTTACAATATAAGTCTTATCTAAGCTTTAAGTCTTAAGCCGTAAGAAATTAACCGATCATAGTCGATTATTTTTCTCACATGTGACTGTGATTAGTTTTTTTACGGCTTATGACTTAAAACTTAAGTAATGGCATTATTGTAGGAAACTTCTTTGTTCTCTCTCTCTTCATGGAAAAAAATTTATGTCTTATGACATATGTTTGATTACTGACAATCGATTAATAATTTCCGGGTAAAGTGAGCCTTGCTGAAACATTTACAGAGGTCTTGGAAGTGAATGAGTAATCGAAGAATCAAATCAAATCGAAATCTTCAAAATATACCAATACAAACATGGTTTAAATAAATGCCACAGAGAAATGTAGTAATTCGTTTGCGTATTAAAAATTTACATCATCACATGAGTGATTAGTAATAAGAACTAGATCATCAATTATTGTCAATTCGATTTTGATTGGATTGCAACTCGTCCTCTTAGAGACTTAAAATCCTCTCTATCTCAGACAATTAATTCATTCCTTGATTTCCATTTCACTCTCGAATATCTTGCATCAAACTGGGGTATAATAGTATAATGAGATAAGTCTTGCACATTTCCATAAAATCGATCTTGCAAAATTCTATCTTCTATTCATATTTATCTCTATTCTGGATTTGATAATTCACCAAATCTCATTATTATGTAACCGGTTATTTCTTTTATTTCCATATAAACTCTTATAAAAAAAGTATAAATATAAAGAGGGTGCAACAAGCCAAGTAAATTAAATCTTGTAAAAAATATGACTCTACTTTAAAAAATAGATAAACTTTAAAAACAAGTAATAGTAAAAACAAATTTTACTTTTTTTTAAATAAATTACATCAATATCTTTCTTTTTTTTACATGAAAGTTTCTTATTACATATATTATCGCAAATAATAATTATTCAATTATAAACATACAAAAATTTTTTACTCCGGAGATTACACACGGTATTCTCATTACAGTATTCTATTTTGACAAAACCGAATCTGATTTTCCATCGATAAAAAAATTGTGATATAATGAAACGCGCGAATTCGATTTTAGGAAGTCAAAATATATAAAAATACCATGGTCTAATTCGATCAAACATTAAATTTTATTTTGTATGGCTATGTTTAAAAATCTCATTGCGTATTTTTCGTAATTTTATGAGAAGCTGGTGTAAGTCTAGTTACTCATTTCTGAGATTCTTAAGCCCATTCTGCAATCGCGTAAACGTAGTTATAAGTGGCTGTAGTTGTAAGAATTGACAGTCGAACATTTTCTTCGTATTTGACTGTGATTGGTTAATTTGTACAACTATAACTATTTACAACTACGCTTACGTAATTGTAGAATGGCTTTTAAAGAGTTGACCAAAACCTACAAAGGCGCGCTACTGAAACTTTTTAATCAAACATTTATATGCAATACATTACACGCATTGGACACACATAAAGAAACGTAAATTTACGACGGTATACGATATAGGAAGAATGAAAGTCGTCTATAGTCGTCTATATATAGGTGATTATTTTTTTTATATGTTCTTTTGTGCAAGCTCGTATCTTCCACTACGACATACCACGAGTATGTCCAAATAACACGTTTATCTGTCAAAGACTCATGATTTATTCGGAGTACGCTTTTTGTTGAGTCCATTAACATCTCTGTATCGAGCAGCAAATATAAATGCATCGAAATAAACGCGTCAATTGATCGTCAAAACCATAGATAGCACAGAAAAATTAATTTGAGAAAAAAAATATAAGAAAGATTTGATAGTCTAATCTTTTAGCACTTTTATATGTATCCTTTTTACATCAATTTTATCAATTTTACTTTCATAAAATACAAGAAAATATTTTTAACCTTTAAATTTTACATTTAAATTTTTGCGAATTCACACCAGCAAAAATATTCACAAAATTTTCCATAAAAAACACATATTTTTACTTATTTTTGCTCTGCATCTTTATAATAAAATTAACGTCAAAGACGTAAAAACCAAATTCGCATGTGGATGTTACGGTTGCACGGTCGGGGTGTAGAATCTGAGGGTTAAAAATTTGAATAGAAATTTTGTCTCTTCGAGCATAATAAATCCAACTTGGATCGATAGCCGATCTCTCAATTACGATTGTAAAATATGGTCATTGAAATTTTGTATATTTTTTTGCTCATTTAGCATAATTATAGTTGCAATTCTGCAAATTTTTTAAAACGATGGGCGTTACAAGATTTAAACCAAAAAAATTTTTTCTTTTACATGCACGCAAATTCAACATGTGTCAAGCTATTTAAACGATATAGTAGTTATTAAGAATCAATGTCGCATATAAATAGTAATAAACGATTGACATAAAGACAAATAAAGCTATTTGGTCTCATTGAATGCGGGATGTGAATATAGACCAATTCAGATCGGTTTAATTTATATTAAATTCTTGTTAAAGTATTACTGTTTTTTTTTTTTATAAAAAATACGTCTAAATGTTTGCAAAAGTATTCTTCCTTCTAAATCTGTCAAATTTGCCTCATTTTCTCAAACACAATTAACACTTAACATAACAATGGTATTTAACACGCTATATGTAGTGCAGGTAATCAACTTCTTTTATTTGTATTACATTGAGCCACGGTCTAGAAAGAAGCAGAGAATTGCTAATTGCAACCAATTAACAACATCAGCCTGACCCGAAAAATGATATCACATGACGAGACATGTGAGAGAAATGTCGCTCAATTATCAACAGTCCAATTATAACAAAGACTCGTGACATAAATTCGTTTGTCTAATTACCGCGATATCTATCGACGTAGTACGTGATAAATGGACCTATTTAATCTTCCAAGTGTCACACTTCTAGATCTTTCAAAGGGATTGATTCCTCGTACGGGAATTACGTCGTCTTAGCGCGTAGTACGAGTTGATGAGACTGTCTCGGGGTATTTGTCATCATCTCGAACGACGAAGTTTAATTGCACAAGGGAACGTGACGGGTCCTCACTTTGACCCAAGAGTTATTCTGCAGCGAGTCATATGATTTCATATGCGCGGTGGTAATCCACGTCTAAAAAATTTCCTCACTCGCATTTATGAAGTATGACTAACGGCGCAACATCTGTTGCACAGATAATTTGACTTAACACGTTGAACTTGATACTTTCTATATGTACATATTTGTTGCATTGCTTCACATCATCTTAACACCAAATTTTAATATCAGATATGTTATGTCATAGTCAAATGATAAATATAAAATAATATATGTATTTTATAATTCATTAAAGAGATATTAACATAATATATTTTAGCAACAAATAATGTAATCTAATATATCTGAAAAAATATCATTAAAGAGTTTGCCACCTAATGTATAAGAGAAATTAAAAGAAGCCGCTATATTTAGGTGGTAAACTGACCATAATACCATCTTCTTTTCTAATATCATATGTATGCTTAGTGTGAAGAATATCAATATTTCATCTCGAGCGCGCGAAGCATACATATAGTCATTTACGCTCTGATTACACACATTTAAAATATCTTGATCGATATTCTCTTTTTCCTGCATTATAAATATTTTCTACTTTTTTTATTAATAAAATATTTTGTTTTCTTTTCAGTAAAATACATTTTATAACATATGTAGGTACTAGAGTTATAAGATTTTAGAATTTGCACATGTATTTTCCGACCTCTTCTTGGTATAAGACGTTTCATCGATATTTATGCCGTGCAGAGCGCGAGTCATGATCTACGTGACGCTTTTTCTGAATTTGTTTAAATATACATATACACTAATTCTCCGTGACCCAGTATGCAATCATGTCATTCCTTCACGTGAGCGGTCAACCGTGTTTTATCCCCTTTCTCTTTAGTCTCCTCTCGAACTATTTAAATAACCTTTCGATTCTGCACGTGTAAAATCTACAAAATGAGAAAATCCTTTTTCATTTTCGTCCTGTTCAATTGAATTTGTTATATCAAACAACTGGTGTCTAATATATTTTTTTATAAATTAGTATAAATAGTATGATTTAAATAATTTAAATTTCAATAATTTAAATAATATGTGTAGAAGAGCTACAAGCCAGATATCAAGTAATAAATTATTTAATAATTTTGAAAACATTTCACATAAAACAAGAAATCGAAAGTCACATAGAATTAAAAAATTTTTGTAAACAATAATTATAATAACATAAATGACCTAAGCGAGGTCAAAACGTCTGTTTATAATTGTTATATTTTATAATTTATATTTTAGTATATATATTTATCTAACTTTTGTTTGCGTTTATGTTATTTTTTATAATTATTGTTTATAAAAATTTTTTAATTCTATGTGACTTTCGATTTCTTGTTTTATGTAAAATGTTTTCAAAATTATTAAATAATTTATTACTTGATATCTGGCTCGTAGCCCTTCTACACATATTATTTATATTTTTTTATCGTTTGCACGATATATATAAATCCTACAAAATTGCAATTGTGAGAGTATTAATTATTTTGAAAAATTAGAATGCTTTTTTTCGAAATTTAAAAAATAATATGCGTTAATGGAACCATTATTTTTCGCAACGGTGCAAATATTAATCGTGTGTAAACGTCAAATAGATAAAGTTTGCATTATTTTTACCTCGTAAGAATTTTAATTGCTGAGTAAATAAAAATTCGTACGGGCATTGCCCGGCGGAAATGAAATCGAACATTACCAAACGATTCGACCGCGTACTTCTATTTGAAGTATCACAAGGACAATCAGCATTCGCTTCACGCTTGGATAACGTTTTTGGACGTATCAGACTGATTCATTGTTGAAAAAGAACGTAAATGAGTCTACTGAATAATTTTTTCGTATTCGTATATTAATTCACTCGAATGCAGCACATTATAATTGCAATCATTGCTACATCGTGCTACATTAACGCCTACATCAACATTTAGAATTAGAGAATAAGTCTTTCAAATATCCAAATTACACGAAAAAAATATGAATAAATTATTGGGAAACAAAGATATAAATTTTAATAAATTAAAAAAAATATTTATCACATAAATATTTGAAAAAAAAACATTACATCCAATAATAAATGACAAAGACAGTTTGGTATACGTAATTAAGATTAAGTCAGAGATTAGACTTGTTTGAATTGAGTAAGCACTATGTAACTGCAATTAATGCAACATCCGTCATATATCTAAAATAATACTCCTAAAATATAAATTATGTGCTCGAAAGTAGTCATTGCAAATATTTGATTTCGCGGTGCACCAGTGTTACACCGCTTGATAACGGTGCTCGTGGCATCGTAAAGTCGTGCCGTCGTCGACGAATCGTCACGTCAAGGCAATAAAAATTCAGTGTTACGTTCCATATTTACGTTCGCGGTATCGCGTTTTCCACTCCCGTTTGAACGGGAGAGATAAATAAACCAAGAACTTTTCCGCCTGAACTTTTGCCAACGTGGATACGTCACCACGAGACGGAATCTCGGCGCCACGCTTGCGTTCAACGGCGGATTAATTGCACAATTAACAATCTCTGCAATTGCACGATGATTTACGAATCATTTGAGCGAACGTAATTAATACCGCGTGTTGACCACGCTGGCAGAAAAGAGCATGTGCTGAGCTATTATGTTACACGCTCTGTGTATGCGTTATATCCACTAATCGCTATACGTGGTACAATCCTAGAAAAAAGATATCAGTGACAATATTTGCGAAAAAAACAAGAAACTTCTACATAACGAAAATTTTAATCGCGCGATCAATCATAAGTGAGATTTTATACAGGAAAACCGATTATATTATTACACTAATTAAGATAATTACCAATTTTTCGTAAAAAAGCAAAAAAGACATTTAAAAAATTCAATATTATCATAATTAAATTTGAATATATAAACATTTTTTAAATAATTGTTAATGAAACACATAAACAATATCATATTGTTATATTTAAATAACTAATAACATTTAATGTACAACACCACACATGAAATAACAACAAAAATTACGTCAAGAGAGAGTTACAAGATCATATTTTATTCTTTAAAATTACTTTTAAAATACTTTTCTATCGAATGTATTTTATACTGAATATATATTTTATAAATAATATCGGGGTTTTTAAATAAAAAATTGTAAAAATTCTTTACATATTAATTGAAAATTCTATTTTACATTTATATTTACACAAGGCGGAATAATCATGTTCTCAATTTGGAACAAAATTTGGAACGCGTCGTAAAGTGGGACGAAGAGATAAAATTTGGAACTGTCCCCCCTAATTTGGGACGGTTAATCGCTAATTGTAAGTAATACACGCTTTCTTGGGCTATCTTTTGGAGCACGTATCTAGAAACATGCTGCGGCTGCAATCATCCGCGATACTAAACATAGGTATATTATGCAGCCCGCATGTAAGATTTCTGTTTAATTTTAGATATTCATTCTATATACGAGAGAACGGGGTCGTAGATAAAAAGTAAAAAAATCGGATGAATGTCAGAATTACGCGTGTCGCGTCTCTGCCACTCGAGAACGCGTGTATTATCTTCAAGGATTCGTTCGACATATGTACTGACGTGATAGATTCGCTGTTTTTATCTCGTGCCGTTTATGATCGTACATGCCTATGTATAATATGTATATATACGTGCCTCTGCTTTTTGCCGCAGCATCACGGCTTAATAAGCTTTCCACGTAAAAGCTTTCTTACATTTCTCGTTTTCGCAATCCTTCTGAGAAATTCATTATTCATCGTAAAAAGAAATATTAATTTTTGTACATATTACATTAATGAACGAACGATCATAAATTATACCACACGCAACATGCGAACTTTCCTCGCAATGTGTCACTCGTTATCGTTGAGTATTGAGCTTATCGGCAATGTCTCGCTACGCTTCATTATTATACCGTAATCACGTGGAATATTAACATTTCTCGCAATCTCTTCACTTTATCGTCATCGCATAACACGTCTCGTTGAATAAAATTTTAGACGATATCATAATATGCCGCAGCATATCATACGACACTCTCGCAAATGTTTACTTCCTTCGCGTAGATAACTCAATCTATCTTATACGTGAAAAGTAGTAATTGTATAATACAAACTGTACAACAAAGGGATATTGCTATCGCACATTAATTTCATCCAAAATTTTATGCTTTAACCTCGTATGAAATGTTCATCTATATCAATTGCGTTTATATTTAAAAATAATCCAGCGAAATGTTATCTTGATATGCGGGAAATATATTAAAAATATGGAGATTTCAACAAATATGGAGAATCAAGATATTTCTGATAAAACATTAAATTGTCAATATATATTTTTATAATTAAAAAAGATTCTGCACATTATACTGAATGTTTCCGACATATTTTATCAATGACAAAAGAGTGTTGAATTCATGCGACAACAATGTTGCCTTTGGAGTGGTCATTAAGGCCTCACCTTATTGAGAAGAGTGGGATTGTGCAACTCGTCTAAGGAGGGTCTGTGGGCCGCTTGGATGCTCATGATGTTCCTGTAATTGTCTAGTCTGGGCAAGGCCTCCCTGGTCATGTATCTGAGGGACGACTTCTTGGTCTCTTGCTCGCCCAGAAGACTGGCACGACCTTCGAGACTGTCGACCCGATTTACGTGGAATCTCGTTCTCCTCAATGGATTCAATTCCACCGTCTCCGAATCGGTATCACCGCCGTTTATCCCGTTTTCGTGCGCCATGTTTCTGCTGCTTTTTCTTTTAGCACACTTCTTCCTTTCCCTCTGCTCGCACAGTGGCTTGTGTTAGAAGTTACACTGCGATTTGGTAGCTTCGAAGACCGAGTGGCCGCGTGTACAATGGTCGATCAAACGGCAATCTAATTTCTCTCCAGTTTCCTCTTCGGGAATTTATCGATTTGCCAAGGTAGCTATCCGATAACATCCGATGCGGTCACCTGTCGACAATCATTATTTAAATGTTTTTATATTTCAGTATTCTCCCATTTTCTATTAGAAAAATCTAGACATCGCGTTTTAGCACATTAACATTATGATTGCGTTAAATAAAAGACGTTTTACATAACTTTAAAATGTTATTTTACAAGATACACTTTAACTATCAATTATATATTATGCACAACAAATTCTATCTATTAATTAGAAAACAGTATGCTTTGGAACATAACGGTGTTAGATAACATTTTAAATTAATATATATCGATTAGATACCACATAATTAAGATAATTAAAGACAAAAATGAAATACTATATGCCGCGCCTATTAAAATTGGAACCTGCAGCTCATTCGACTTAACATAACCGGTTTGATAAAGTTTAATCAAATATGCTTTGGTCTCACGTGAGACGCTTGTGTCTATATTAATTCCATATTTAAAAATCCATCGAAATATAGTATTTCAACGCGCGAAAAATACTAAAATTAGGGAGATCTCAGCGATGCTAATAATGGACGATCAAGATATTTCTCACAATACATTAAAATGACAATTTTAACTACGTACGTGAACAACGCAATCTTAAAATAAAGTTTCTCGAAATAACCCATGTATAAAAGAATCACAAAAATAAATTAAAATTATCTGACTATTAATAATTGTTTCTAACGATAAGTTATCAATAAAAATTGATTGCTACTGCAAATTATATTCGAGCACATATATAGAATCAGTATACGAACTCTTGCGATCAGCAATCTGCGCTCCAAAAGTTTATTTTTTTATGAAATTAAATTCTTTCCTAAGAAGAGAAATTTTTCTAAGAAGTCCGAAACGAAACAACTTGAAAGATTCAAGGTGAACAGACACATAGAGTCCTTTCGTTGGCCTTGTCGACCTCGCGATAATTAAGTGAGAAGCTCGTGGGTGTGCCAATTATTAAATTACCCTTGCCCCGAACATCGTTTCATGCGCGATTATCTCTAGTCCCTGGTGGGTTTAATACACGAGTTCGTCTAATTACCGAACAAATAGACCGTTTGGATACGATCGTTTTCCGTATCTGTGACACATACATCGTCTCGCCTAGTTCCCACGCGGATACACGTGTGACAGCGCTTTCCGGCAATCAGACTCTTATCGAATCATTGTAGCGATTATATACGAAACCGGTAATACTGTCGTCCTTAATTATGATACAACGATCTACGCCATATGCAATCTTTGTACAAACCCGAAGTGCTTCTCAATTAACCTGAACGGTATGAATTATTTTCAACTGACCTTCTAACAAATCTCTTTTCTCAAGAATATACTCTCATGACATAAAAGAGATAATACGAATGGAATGTGTAAATATTATGCAATTATAGCTAGAAAATTTCTTAATTTTTATTTCATTTTTGTTATGTATTGGAACTAGACGTTCTAATTAGAGCTTAAACAATGATAAAATTATCTTCCTTTTCTTGTAACTTAAGATAAATTAACGTATATATATATACCATAATTTTATATTTTTATATTAACCAAACATTTAATATTTTTTATCGTATACAATATAATGTTATATAATATAATAGTATACAATATCAAAAAATAGACATTAAGTGTTTCACCAATGTAAAAAAATTAATTTTCAATTATAAACATTTTTTTATTATATAACTATATTACATATATCAGATATATTGTATAATAATTTTATTAATTTTTCGTGATTAATATATAATAATATTAATGATATATGACATTAAGTTCACCAATGTAAAAATAAGAAATTGTATTAATTTATCTGAAATTACACGAAAATGGAGGTAATTTTATGTGAAACAGAAAATAATATTTTATTATACATATATATATATATATAAATTACTATATGTATATAACATATATTATATTTCTAATGAATTCAGACTTCATACTCTCATCTATATAAAAACAATTATATACACTATACTACTCACATAATTCACTACAAATTGTTTCGCTGCAAGACACGAGGTCGACTGACGACGCCGATCGACGATAACGTACCGCCGATACTTATTCCACGTATGCGTCAACTTACACACGAGTGCGGTTAATTAATTCGACGAGCCTTCGGTGACATTTCAATTTAATCCATCGCATACGAGGATGCGGCCGCGACGTAAGCGTCGACGTAATCGCTCTTTTCCATCGTGCCAATCGCGCCGATTGTTTGTGCCGCGCCAATGGGACCGTATGAAAGTCACGACCGTATCTTAATAATTATTAGTAACTAAGCAAACAACGCCAGAGCAAGCAATCTCCGAATGCGCAAGATCGAATTGTTTGTCTTCCTTAAATGACTCTCTTTGATATCGCCAACAATCGCGTTGAATATCATCGCGATTTTAAGATCGCCGCGGCGCCCGCAAGACACGAATCAGTTCAAGATAAGTCATTGGCAATTTTCTTGTAGAATATATAATACATCGAGAAAAAAATCAACGAACGTGGTACAAAAGAAAACGAATGTTAAAAGAATTATGACGACGCCGCGACGCCTGATGAGTTCATTATATTGAATCGCGCGATCAAATTTCTGGTATATATACGCTTTTAAATTATATCTCAGGCAGTCTTAAGTTTTAAGATTCTTTTTCCTGTGATTCTGCAAGCTTAATGAGTGATTTTCTAATAAAACTCCTTTATGATATTATATTATCCTATACCGAAAATCCTTAGAAAACAAATTTTCGAATCGAACACAATTAAATTAATCAAAGTTTGATTGTCGCTCTTATAATTTTTCTAAGCCGATCTCTTAAATGCCTTTTTTTAATATTTAATATAATATTTCTATACTCAATTCTGTGACGGAATAAAAAAATGGACAGGAATCCATATAGGGTTACAATCGGTTAGTACTGGGCCAGTATTGACTGCCATAGTTCAGGTATTGATGCAGTACTGGTAAACTACTGGTCCAATACTGGTTAAGTACTGGATGATAACTTGGTCCAGTACTGGCAGATAGTATTGACTCAATTATTTTAGCCAGTCATTTGTCAGTTATGGCCCAAAACTTTACAAGTCATTTATCAGTTAGTCGTTTGTCAGTGATGGTCCAATACTGCTTGATAGAACCTTGACTGTCGCAGTTGACAATCGTATAGCGTTGGTTTCATTGTAACTGCTGACGACTCTATATGGTTCAAACTTATAGTTCTTTGTTAAAATTGAAAAATTGCTGATCATTTTCTTGACGAAATAATCTTCTTATGGTACTCTTACAATCACGAATTATGGCCAGCAATGATACCTATCCTAATCATCGCATTACGAGTGGCATCCACGATTTTCAAATAGCGACGATTTTCAAATTATCACCGTCTGGTACAGCGATAGGCAATGAATGTTTAATGTCCTTTCGTATTTCTTAGGAATGTACACATAACCTTGATCAGTTTGAAGATGACGTTCTGAAAATGTTATCCTGAATTACGATGATATTTCCGATAATAGAATTTTAAAACTCCTTTTAAAGTCTACATATCCTGACCTCGGATATTTAGACAAATGATATAAAAGCGAGAAAATACATAAATATAATGAATTCTTGCAAAAGAAATATAAATATTAAAATATAAATATTTTTCAATAAAACAATATTTGCAGCAGTTAATAGAACACACTTGTAAACTATATCGAAAGTCTCTTTTTATTTCGAAATAGAATAAAATTATATTTAGTTTTTATTTCTGTTGTCATACGACATTCATGTTTATTTTTTCGTAGGACTAATTCAATTTTATATGGTTATTTATCGATTATAAAAATACAATCAATCAATTGTAAATGTTGTTTTATTAAAAAATATTTTAATATATAGCTTGCAGAAATTTTCTTTATACTGATACATAAATTTTCTTGCTTCTAAAGAATATATAGTATATGCCATTATATTACCAAAAATCTTTGATTAATCAGCAATAATTTGTAATTTTGCTTCGCTTTTCAACTTAAGTTTCATCATATTTCATCGCAAAAAAAGTTACCGTTTAACAATCTATTGATTTAATTAAGTCTCCTTCGTAAAAAATTTTGATTAATATGACATAACTGAATATCAATTCCACTAAGGAGAGTGATATAAATCTATTTTTAATTTATTTACACACAGATTTAAATTTATTTTTAATCGACAATAATTGTATTGTTTTTTGTATCACTTCGCTAACTTTAGTTTCATCTGATTAAAAAAAAAAGATATTCTTTAACAATATAATACATTAATGATCGGTCTCCATTTCGCGTAAAGGTTTTAAAGCATAACCGAATATCAACTCCGCTGAAGAGTGGTTTAAACCGGTTTACATTCAGGTTCAAATTTACATTTAATTGATAGAGATCTGTATTAAACCGCCGCTGGATCGCGTGAACTTATTCTGGATGGTCTCGGTTCAAATTTTGAATAAAGACCAGTTTACGATGAGCTCAACAGATGCGTTATTATTCAACGCGTTTATTATTATTCTTTAACCGTTAACTGATGTTTCAGTCAACTGCTTTAGCACCAAGAAATGCAAAATCGCAAAAAGAAGAGCGGATTATTACAAAAAAAATTGCAAAAAAAAATTAAATTTAAATGTTCCGTGAAATAAAGCATCAACATGCAGCCTGCGATGTTATTCGATGATCACATCGCGACGTTAGCAGGACCATTTATGTATAAACACTTGTGAAACAATGCGATCTGGACAATGGACTTCCTGGAGTTTCCGGCACATCCTGATCGAGACTACCATTCTATCCTTTCCGAAGAAGATGACCCAACGCTGAAGTTGCGCTATTTTTAGCGGTTCTATAAGTAAAACAACTATTCGCAATTGGAATTGTAAACTTTCGTGCAAACGCGACCCCGTGCCATGTGGCCCTCCCGTCTGTCCTCAAGTTCGTTTTTTTCATTTTTTATAGCAATACTTATCACGAGCAGCAAAGCGTAACGAGCATCATCAGCTGGCATCAGAATTACTAAAACCTATGGGGGTTTTCATTGACGCGATCCTATACTCGTAACTGTCTATTAAGTACATTTTGATACCATATGATAAATTAGTTTATTTATCGGAACGAATAGATATTTTAATCCTTTGTATATAAATCATTGTTGTCACGAGATTGTATTATTTTATGCCGGAGAAACGAGATAAAATATTTTAGAACCTATTAGGACGCAAATTATATTTTTCGTTATATAATTTTGAAATTATAATCAAGAAAATATTCTTTGTCAAAGATAACTGTTACTTAAAGAAAAAAAAAGTAAATCGAATCATTACTTTTCTTAGCAATAGAATATTTTTATGTATGTAAATATTGATTAAAAGTCTTAATATAAAATAAATTAACTGTCAGACTCTCAGGTTATAGGAAAGATCCAGAAAAAAATCGAATGCAAATTGTTCAAAATTAGATACTTATTCAAGAATATTTTTATGCGATAATTTATTGTGTCTTCGAAGGATTGAATTAACGTTCGATCATTAATGAAAATTGATTCTAAAAAATTAAGTTTACATTGGGGATTTATCAATAACTGGAAAGTTAAAAAATTTTATACCGAGGTTTCTCTCTTTCTATCTTTCTGTAGAAAGAGAGAGAAGTTGAACGTTCAAAGAACTCGATGGAATCTGCTCTATTCTTGGCCATCGCTGCCACTTTTTGCTTCCTATCGCATCATTTCCCATTACTTAAGATACGAATCGCGCTTATCCCAGCGATTCGACCGCAAAATTTCTAGTAGTGATAACTTTGAACGTCGACTCCCTCTATATATTCCTATCAAACTTATATGTGTTTCTATAATGCTCATTTCTACCAATATAATTTAATTTTGATTTGGTTTAACTAACTCTTCATCCTTTTTCTATAATAGTTTTAAATATTGGAAAAAGATGAAAAACAAGTGTTGAAATTTAAGTTAATCTATATTGACAGAAATAAGAAATGGACATAAAAGTTGCCTTGTGGAACAGACAAGACAGAAGAGACGGACGTGGACTTTTAAAAATCGTCAGCGCGCTTAGCAACGCCAACTGATCGCGAACGGTGCTGTGGCCTTTATTGTGAATGCAAACGTTTCCATACAGGGTCGGTGCGAGACAAACAGTGTCGCCGTTTTTGAATTTTTCACGTAATAATACAGGCAGTATTTAAAAAAGTAATAATATTCCGTTTTAGTAATATTTAGTTAAAATTTAATATAAATCTCTTCCCTATCCTAAAGAAACTTCCAGATCAATTTACACATTATTAAGAACATTATTAATCTAGAAAGTCTGAAGGAGCACGTGTAAACGCGCGTAATTTTTGTCTACAAATATAACAGAGATGTTTCTCTCAATAAAGAATAATTTTTCGGACGAACTGTCGTCTATAATAATCAATACTACCCTGAGAGAAAAATGTTCGGTATTTGTATGGCTATAATTGCATAGTAAAATAATTCATGATTAAGAGTTTTATTTTTATAATTACTACTGCTGTATAAATATTAAATAGTAACAACAATTATATGTAATATAATGATTTTTATCAATGACAGGATGATTCTGTCAACAAAGATTTCGGGCAAACTGTTTATTCATCTGTAATAATGAATATTATCATGAGAAAAAAGTATTTAGTATTTGTGACTGTATTCGGACTGGTCGTTAGTATTCTAAAAAATTAAGGCTTGTCAGAAAAGAGTTGAAGGAAAAATTTTGTTTTTTCCTTCAATAATAAAAATAAGTAGCCGGCCCTGTACTTCCACGCGTTTGTCTCGCACGCGACCGGCTCGTTTATCGCAGACAGCTTGTCCACTCTGGCGAAATCGAGGAACCGCATTCTCATGGTTCTCATCGAGCATCCGACGCTAAATGCGACCGGTCCAGACTGGTCATTCGTCTTCTTTTCTGTCATCTCTGAACACGACTTTTCCCATGTTTTACTGTTAAAACTTATAGACAAAACAAAAAAGAAATGTCTTCTGCTAAAAGCGGAGAAGCTAAAGAAAGTAAGGCATATTTATAAAATAAAATTCAAGATTGAGGACCATATTTAGTGTTAAACGCGTAACGGTAAAATCACTCTTTAATCTGTTCACCTTCTCGTTCGTTAAATTCACCCTCCTGCAGACAAGGGATTCTTTCAATCGTTAAGTCTTCAGCTTCCCCATAACCCTGCAGAGATTTATCTCGATCCTATTGGAATAAATGTCTTTCTCGTATGCTCTATCCAGCTAGGCGGCTTCTTAAAAACCCGATCATCGTGACGAAAACGACAGAACACTTGATAGCCTTTTACGGTGTTCCTTTACAACCGGACCGGCACAAATCGGCAAGGTGAACAGGGTCGACACTTAACACGTGTGCTTCGGTGCGCGTGTATCGACGTATATTCGTGTGAATGAGAGATAGACAAGTGCGCGCGCGTGCACGCCAGAGCCAGACGTTGCGAACACGTGCTGCTCGCTCGTGTCACACGCAAGTGAACAGTGGGGAGAGAGACTCCGACGTGTCTGAACCACACGAAATCCCGATTCTTACTGACAGACCGGACTGTTGCAGAAATCCCCTTCACCTCGCGATACTCGGCTCGCTCCGATGCATGAACGAGAATCGGCGGACCGGCACACCACGGCACACCACGGCACACCATGAGCATACGCACCGACGCCAACCGACGCAACGTCACCGGTGCAGTATTGTATCGCGCAAGCATTGCACCCTCTCTCGCAAATGTAGCTTCTGAAATACGAATTGTAATTTTACATTATCTTGATATACATATGTCCTACTTACCCGTGTTCATACATGTATATATAATATCTATAGAAATTTATCTCTTGATGTTCTGTAGTTAATAAAATAATTTATAGAGTATCTAAAGGTGTGTGTATATGTGTATACATATCAGATAGATATATACAGGGAGGGCCATTTAAAACAGGTCACCTGAATAACTCGCTTGTTTTTGACAATAGAAGAAAAAGTGTCAAACAAAAGTTGCTTGGTTTCGAGGGGCACATAATGTGATGTCAATAATTGTTTTTTTGGTGGAGGCGCTAAAAAGATATGAAGGTCACCTCCACTTTTTTAAATGGAATTATGTAATTTTTTTTAGATTACGTAATTCCTCGAATTATTTTGCATATAAAAGTGTTAAGGTAGAGATACCAAAAAACCAATAGTATTTTCGAGATATTTTACACTTTATTTTGATACATATTGACACAAAATGTTAAATAACTCGTAAACTGTTGACTTTTTGATTATCGTACCTTAATACTTTTGTGAACAGAATAATGAAATAAATCAAATGGTGTAAAGAAAACACATAGTTGCGTATTTAAAAAATTATCCATTTTGTATACATATTTTTTTTAAAGCAACTATGTGTTTTCTTTACACCATT